GCTGTTATTATTCCATCTTTAAATCATTCTAGCATAATCGTACGGCACGAAGCTATGGAATTATTATTTTGCATGATCAATCAAATGAAAAAATATTTATTAGCTACAAAAATGTATAATAAAAATAATCTTGAAGTAAAAAGCAGCGTGACGGATTACATTATGAAGACTGTACCTAATTTAAATATTATATTAAAAGTATGGACTGATGCTTTTGTAGTAAACGAGGATACAAATAATTTATCGGAAGATAATAGTTTATCCGAGCCATCTAAACAAAATCATTTTTCTACGATTTTAAATGTACTTCATATGTATAATGATATATGTCCAGAACTTTTGAATACAACGTTAGATGTGCAACCTAATTTATTGTTCTCTGGATTAAATAATTTGTATGACGTAGATGACGAAGAATTAATTATTTTAAGGATCAAAGCAATACAGTTTCTACTTGCATTAAATTCATCCGAATTCACTCCATCTAAAACAGCATTCACGGAAACTTTCGTATTTTTAAGTTTTCTTCTGAATGAAAACTCATCTATGATTTGTTCATATGCAAAAACGACTACCAAAACTTTATTAAATATAACAGGATTGTTTGATGGATGTCACGAACAATTGGACATATGGATTAATGGTTTATGTAATGTAGATAATTCTGAGGAGAAAACAGAGCTAGTAAATTGGCTTATTAAACTCATTAAAACTACTATTAAACATATGGATAAATATGTAAATATGATAAAAACAGCAGAAGAAGTCACCAATGATGGAATAGTAAATGATAACGAATTGAGTAAAACAATCAATGAATCTCATTCTATCGAAGATAAAACGAACGTTGAAACATTGTGTATGCAATCAACTACATCCATTTTGCCTATTTTATGTTGTGCAATTAATAAGTTAAAAACGAATTCTACTTTTGTTCTATCGCAATATATGTCTTATGTATTAGTCCATACGCTACATTATCAAGTCAATCCAGAACCTTTGATATCTTTGATTACGGATATTCAAGATTTGGAAGGAGTAAAATATTTACTTAGTTGGTGTCTCGATAGTAATCCTACTAGTATACCAAAAATATTTTCATCTATGAATACGATGCATAAATTAAGCGAAGCATTATTGAAAGATTCGACAATAAAATTGAACGAATTGTTCATTGGAGATATTAAATTGACTTTTAATTATGACAATGAAGAAGTTATAATAAAACACGCTTTATCGACGTACGAAATTATGGTACTGCTAAAATTGACTATATTTCATTTAACACACGATATTCGTAAAAATGATTTTAACGAAATGAAATTTAATAATTACAAAAGAATGATAATGTGTTTATTAAATATAGCAAATACTGTACAAGACGAAGATAGTTCTGCGTTTGTAAATAGTTTTGTTAAAACAATATTCAGCCATCCGATAATTTTACAATATTTTTTCTTTCATGAAGACGAAAAAACTATTGAGATTATGATAACAAATTTAATTCTTGATATTTGTCAAATAGTTATGAATGTATTTAATTTGCCTATAACTGATTTACTTATGCCATATAAAAACAAGGCTATTATACAGATCGAAAAAATAGCAAACGGAAAACCTCATCAATGTAATTCAATGTATAAAATCATCATTACGCTACTGGAGCAATTACAATTGACTGCAGAAGATATCGTGCATTTGTTAATGATATTAACAAAATTGACGAAAGCTAAGTTTATGCTTAAAGACACCTCTAATTTATCGATATGTGGATATATCTTTCCTAAGTTATTGCATCTTTTGTGCAACGAAAATATCAGGTGTGTTCATACTGAAGTATCAAAATTAGATATACAATTTGTTAAAAAAGCATTTTCATGTATGATTTTCTTAAAACAACAACACGTGTCGAATGTTAATCTATGGGAAACAGCTTTGCAAGAATATCTACATTATTTCCCCCATAATATTGCCGCCATTAACACAAGTAAGATATATTTACACAAATCCATATATATATACCTAATATAAATACATTAAAAATAATTGTTTATTTGCAGATACGTTCAAATCAATTTTGAAACAAAGCGTTGATAATAAAAATGCACAATTGATATCATTTTTACTCAGCAAAAATATGAAATTGTTACCTTCGTTCATAAAATATGTGCTTGAACTTGAAAATATGAAAGAAAACACATATTTGTTGTCGGTAATAGAAAATAATTTGAAATACGTATGGAAAGAAGATTTAATTAAAAAATTAAGTGATTCTTACAAGGATGAAATATTACATTACATATTACATCCTGCAGAATCTAAAAATTGGATAGAAGAAAACGTTAATGTCATTTCTTATATTATTGACAATACATTTGGTGAGTATTTTTGATAGTATGAATTCTAATTATTTAATTATACATGTCATATATTTATATTTTTATTTATTTATTAGATTTAGAAAAATGTAATGACGTATGCAACACTGTCTTACAAATTGGCGATCAGTTAGAAATGGTTCACATGTGTTACATTCACATACTGAAGAGTTTGTATTACAAATACGCACTTTTAGAAGAAAATCGTAGTATTCAAATAATAATGAATTTCGTTCAAATACTTTTTCACATAATTACGTTAACATTAAAAAAGGAATCTAAAAATATCGACAAAGTAATACTTTTGTGTGAAAAATTGAGCGATACAATTAATTATTTAAAAGAGAAGAAGAATGATTTTATATTTGAAGATTTAAGTACGAGTCATTCTTGGCCTCAATTTACTCGTTTTTCACTGAAAATAGGATTCACGTTAACGAAGGATAACAAAACGTATCTACCAATAATAAAAACTCTTGGCATGTTATGCGATGTAATGTGTAAAAATGATAGCAATAATGAATATGCTAAGACCATATTTGAAATGACCACTTCTCATTCGGAATTTGTTAATACCATGTTAACATCTTCTAGGATTAAAAGTAAATATATATATATAATTTCTTTTATTTATTAAATATTAATATTATTTTTTTCATATTGCATTTATAAACTTTTAGAGGATATAATACAGTTGTTGTGGACCCTAATTAAAAAAAATAAATCTCTAATGAAATCATCGCACATACCACTTTATTTAGCAGCTTATGGTGCAACATTGTCTGAAACGGATCAACTTATTTTACTCGTAAGATATGAATATTCTATGTGTTATTATTAAATATTACTAAGATACGTTTATAAATTGTTCATTGTAATAAACAAAATAGATTTTTTTTAGATATTACAATATTACGAACGTAACAATATTAAAATTCACGAATATCGTCCGTACTTATGGGGTAATGCAGCGGCGATACATTACAGCGTGAAAGGTGATGTAAGCACTGCAATTTGGAGGCAACCTTCTACTTTTGAAGTATTGGGATTATTTGAACAAGAAATTGTGGAGAATACTATCAAATATTATCCGGTAAATAGATCATTAGAGGTACGTGTTTTGCGTTGAAATTATCTATTGGAAATATGCGAGTATTATAAAATATCATCAATTGAATAATTACAGTGATATATAATCTTGCTTACAGAGTAGTGAACTGCATAATGCAGGTGATATTTATGATCCAGCATTCTACTTACCTTTACTCTGTTACCTCCTATCGGATAATAATATCGTAGCATGCTATAAAATAACACAGAGCGGAGCTTTGGCGCTTATCTTAATGGCATGTAGTAGTAATCACAATGAAATTCGTATGGCAGCGTATACCGCCATTGCAAGATATTATTCTCATCTTGAAGCATCGAGGTATATTATTCATAAAAAAGAAATATATAATGATTATTTTTTTAGATATTCATTTTAATTTTATTATATACTTGCAGTTTCAAAGAAAAAGTTCTTTGGATGCGACTTGTTGATTCCTTACGTAATGGAATAGTATCAACAAAAAACAATTTGCAAGACATGCATATCAGTTCTTTGATATCTACCTTTTTAGCAAGAACTTCTATAATAGCTACTCAGCCATTACATCCTTTATATTTACCACTTCATAATTTTCTTATGGTCAAACCAGCATTGGACTTAAATACAGTACCAGAATTATTACAATTGTTTCATAGTTCTGATGTTAATCATAAGGAACACCGTCATTGGATTTTGGAAACTATTCGCGATGGTATCAAAACGGAAAAAGACGTAGAAATTGCATGTAAATGCATGCTATATAAAATGTTATTAGACTTTTCTAATAGCTTGTTATCAGATACAAAAACAAAGGTAAACAATAAGTTTTCAATAAACGAAAAATAATTATATATGTATTTCTTAATATATATTTCATATATGCAATTCTTATTTCAGAAACTTATATTAGAAGTAATCGAATCGAGTACAAAAATTCCTAAATCGTGTCTTTTACTTATACGAGGATACGGATTACTTTGTTGGTTAACAGAAACCGTGTTACGATTGAAAAATTGTGACGCTCAATGGGTAACTCTTATAATTAACATCGTGTCTAATATCTTGAAAACCCTTTTGGGTGTCAAGAAAGAATACGATTTTTATAAAGTTTTGTTACTAAAGATTCTCTTATCTTTACGAAAACATTTAACTCTTGGAATAAGTATATGCTCGTTCGAGCAATATCTTAATCTATTACAAACATTACTCGTATCAAATGATTTTAAAAATATTATAAGTAAAGAGGATATGGAAAGTATAGTCGATTTTTCCAAAAATCTTATTGGGAAAATAGACGAATGCGAGAATATGCTGAATCATGGTTGCAAGTTCGTTAATAAGATGGAACATTCGAACATGAAGGAAAACGAATTGGAGAAAACGCGAAAAAGTATGCAAGCGTTGGTTTGGACGTGGTTTAGATACGGTGTAAGATGACATCAACAATAAATTAATTTTAATTGTAATTCCTCCTTTCCACATGTTTACTTACCGTACTATTGTATTGTCTTTATATTCTCGGAACGTTTCTCTTATTTCCTTGGTACAAACTATTGAAACAAATATAGATCATGGAAAACTTTATGGAACTATTACGATTATTATTAGTATTAGAGTATTTATTTTTCCTTGCGATGTTTTTTTTTCAATACAGGATAAAATGTATGTACAAATACAGGAGCGTCTGGATTCTTTTCTTCACCATCATGGTGTCTAAGAATGAGCACCAGTTTCTCAATTTCTATTTCATTCGATGTTGGCTTATGATTAGAAAAATGCATGCCTTTTTTAAATGCTCCCGTCGGATCATGCACGTTATTTGGCCATAAATAAACCACTTCGCTCTTTGAGCCTTCATTCAATTTTTGTATAGCCATTTGAGCAGCAGAGCTAGACAACGCAATATGTGCGGCAAGATCTTGATCATCGCTACTAAGAAAAGCAGTTTTCCATTCAGGAAAGCTTTGAGCACAATCATCACAGCCTATCGGACCAGCGGCATGCTTTCTAGGATGACCCAGTGCATTATATTGAAAACATTTTCTATTATGAGAATCATCTAAAACTGCTTTTGCATCTGCCGACGTTGTACCAGTATAACGAGCGCCACCGATTAACAAAACTATTTTTTTATTCTCCTCGAGCCATTTAATTTCTGTTATGTAATCTGCCAGTAATCTTACGTTTCTTTTCAGTTGTTTAATAGTTTCTTGCCTCAATTCGGAGGCATTTATTCCTGTTTGCTCGGCGATTACAGAAAAAAGACAATTGTTTAAATCATGATGGATATCTTTCGGCTGACCTCTTCCACGAAAGGTCCAATGCCCTTCTTGATTGTTTGTATGATACTCTATATCTATTGGAGTACCTTGTTCATTTTCACCAATTGTCTGCATTAGTTCATGACCCGATCTCCATATTCTTATGGGTGCACCCGTTACATAAGCTAAAGCAGCTAGATGAATCAAACCAGCCGGTCCATAATTTTCTAAATCCCATATTAATCTCCATGCTTGCCGAAGATTCTCCAATTTTTCGATTGGAGTTGCATTCGATCTATACCTTCTAACCGATCTATACCTGCGATCCCTACTTTCTTGCGATTCTCTTTCATTATTCATTTCTACGATAATTTATTTTATCCCGTATTATTTCTCCTGAAATTTCATTTTTAATTTGGCTGATCCATAATTTGAATTTTTTTTCGATACGTTGTTATCTTTTTCTAATATTAATATTCATTTTGTACAAGTAAAGAATTAAAATTATTAATAAAATTGTCTCTTTTTAGAAAAAAAGAATCCATCTGTGAAAGGGAAGATTCGTATAAGAGATATTTTCAGAAGGTATATAATTACGACAATTAAAATACCTACGTTTTTTCTGTATCAATTTGGGATTTAATTTTTCATCGGTAATTTTGAACGAATTTTGATTAATCATGATTGTCCAAATATTTGAATATTTTTTTTATATTAATTCTATAATTTTGAACATTGTCTTTGCCAAAGAATAAAATTGTTTAGTGCAATTGTTTCAACAGACATTTATTTCGCGTATTAGATTCGATATAATTATCGAAATAATTCGATAAGCTAAGGAAAGAAAATTCAAGCTTAATTGTATTTTTATTTCTTTTTTTACTCATGTGTCGGTCAGAACTTATTCGAAAAGTTCGAAAGTAAATCAGGAAGATTAGAGGATGAAATTCTCGAAATGTTTGTCGAAGTTTTGTCTCATTGTAGGGTTTAAATATTAAAGGAATCGAGAAAATGAAAGAAATCGCCATTTTTCCTGTTGAACGAGGAGAAAAAGAGGGAATGGTTAAGGGCTGCCAGAAGGAAGAGGAAACGATCGTTGGCAGTTGAAAGAGGTGGGGAAAAGGAAAGATAGAAGGGGTGAGAAGCAGGTGAAGTGGGGATCTAACAGATCCCCTCGCTCGATTCGTGGGTTTCACCGGTCTCTTCGACGATCCATGGATCAGTCTCGGTGCAACCGTCCTTTGGGTTTGGTTGTCTTCCTTTTTTTTTTTCCCCCTTTTTATTTTCATTATTATTATATCTTGACACAACCGAATATGGGTAACACTTTATATTTCCACTTGGATCATATTATTCTCGTTCAAATTTCAACGCGTTTTTTCGGTATTATTTTTGAACCCACAGTGACAACGAACCCGACGAAAAATTTATGAGGATAGTGTAAGATAAAGAAATTTATTGTTATTGTTGTGTCTAATCGAGATGCATCTTGCGCGAAGCGTGTCAACGCTTTTTTATTAATGTGTACGAAGTGAAATAATTATTATTTTTTTTTTTTTTATTGTGTTAAAATTGTAACAAGATTTTTAGTGAAACCCGACGATACATTTCAGAGTTTATCTTCAGTGTTATTCTTATTTTTTGTATTATGTTTCTTTTTCTTTCTTATAAAAATATTATCAAGGATATAAGAAATAGGAATATCGAAGAAGAAGAAGAAGAAGAAGAAGAGGAAGAGAAAGACGTGTGCATGACTATGCGATCGTTCGAGCATCCAAGTCGATAACACGAACGTTTCGTATGCCGTCCCGTCGGAGAGTTCGATGCGTGGATAAGAGACTCTTTTCTTTCGACGAACAAAATCAAATTGTTCGTTTGATTCAAAACGAATCAAAAAGGAAATCCGATTTCAATTTAATTAAAAAATCATTCGACGACATCCTCGGATAATAAAAATCGTTTCTTTTTTTTCTTGCTTTTCCTCATTGATATCAATCACAAAGAAATATTTCATCAAAGGATGGATAAATTAGGAAATTAATTTTTACCGGTGTTTTCGTAATTTCTTGCTTCCGTTTTGTTTTTGCTTTTATTTTTAACAGACAGGTGTGGCGTTGATAATTACCCCGGCTTAAAAAACGCGCCAATCGACATTTCTTTTTTCTTTTTGCAACATTGATAAACGATTGTTACTACGTAGCGGATTATAAAAGACTTTACTATCGAGAAATAAATCGCGTATAAATTTCGTTAATACTCGAGATTAACTTTTCGAATGATATCATTATAACATTTAACGATACGAATTGTACGTAATTTGCGATTTTTCGTCGATTGGAATTCGTCGCGACACATAGTGATGCTGCGCGTATAACTGTGTTTAGTGCGCGTATATATGTATGTTGTGTCGCGTGTGTGTGTGTTTTTTTTTATGTGTGTATACGCGTGTTTGAAACAGTGTCTTTCATTATATTTCCCAGTCATTTATCATCGTTCTTTTCAATGATGGATACAAGCTGAACGAATATTCATTTATCCGTTGGATTCTTCCTTCGGAAATAACTACTTTCAAAGGGCATGTATGGCTGGTAAATATCACATACATTAATATTCCATATACATAAATTATCTTATAAATAAGATGTCCTTTACGAACGGATATCAATGTTCGAACAAATTCGAAAATCGTCAGCTCGATTATATTTGTTCATTATATTTTATATTTTACTTTGAAATTAATCTTAAAATTATTATTAACAATGTTGACAATTTATTTAAAAATTAAGTATGTAATAATACGCATTATTATCATTTAGGTTTTATCATACGTACATATAGAGACATACATATATATATATATATATATATTGTATACTATATGACAGAGTTTCTCCAACTTTTCCGATTGGCGACCACCTTTGCTCGAGCAAATATTTTCGCGACCCTGAATTTAGATTATATATTATCTTTTCTTTCATTATTATAAACTCACAGACATATGATACATTTAGTATTAACTCAACTGTTTGATAATTAACTTTTTATCGTTGAACAAAATTTGTTAGTATCATCAAAATTTCTGCGATCTTAAATTACGCGACCGACCCCATAATAATATATATATATATAGAGTCACACTTTGAGAATTCCCCGTGATATTATGATATTGAAATTAATTTTTTCGACAAAAGAACAACAAATTTTTCGAAGAGAAAAAAAAAGATAAAACGAAAGAACCAAATCACGTAAAGTTTTTTCTTTTCTTTTTTTTTTCTTTTATAAAAAGATATTCGTACGCGTAGACATATTGGTATGGTCGAACGGTTGCTTTCGATTCTCGAAAGTCATCGACTTTTCGAAGAAGATGGAGTTTAACGGCCGTAAAGAAGTGCCGGTATGGAAACCAGAGAGGAAGAAGAAGAAGAAGAAGAAGAAGAATAAAAAGAAAAAGAAGGGAAAAATGCGTATATACCACCTACAAATGTTATTCTCGATTCTTGTACGTGCTGCGTTCACGTGTGCATCGTCTTCTCATTGCTGCTGCTGCTGTTGCTGCTGTTATTGCTGCTATGTAACGTATGGAATATATGCATCCTATGTATATACTACATACACGCATACATACGTATATTTATATATCTATACTTACTTATATATTTTCTATAGAAGTATTTTCACTAGAGTATGCGTAAGAAAGGATTGTACGTTCGAAGAACGTTTCTGTTTCCTCTCACGCACGAATGCACGTTCAGGCACGTAGCTATTCAATACGCATCCGCTTTTGCAGTCGTGGCATTGATAATAAATGCATTGGCCATTGGTCACGTAAAAACGACAATGCAACTTCCAAAATTCTTTTGATTTCCCTTTTAATTTACTTTCCTTATCCTGTTATTTCTTATTATTCGTCTTTCATCAATATGACAATTATTTAAATGAAATCAATTTACTCGATACCAATATGTTTTCTAATGTACATTATTAATAATTACTGTTTAAATTGCGTTCTACTTTTCGTTAAGTTTATTTGAATGTATTTTTTATTTTCATAAAATTTCTAATAATAATAATAATAATTAAGACAGTTAGTTTTTTAATAAATAGGCACAAATGTTTTAGATTTTATCAGAAGTTTTAAAAGCGTAAACGATTGTTTGAATTTAATTTATGATAAAGAGGAACGAAAATAAGAGAGATGATCTATATTAAAAATTGGTATAATAATTCCAGTAGTTAATCTAATGAACCTGAACAAATAGAGTAAAGTAGTAGTAAGTTTCCTTACTACTTATTATAGTAGAAAAAGAGATTAGGTGGGTACGATCTTCTTTTAGATCAGTAAAATCCCGAGGCAAGACGGTGGACGGTGTGTGCCAAGTAAATCGTGGAGGATTCTCAATCTTTTTTTTTTTCTCTTTTTCTATTCTCTTTCTATTCTCTTTATTTTGGTCTATATCTCGAACTCCGCAATAGACCGTGACGATGGTGATTCCAACAAACCAGATATATATTATCCTACGATCGTTATCGGTCTGCGTTATATACCGGACTGTAAAGGGTGTAACTTTGCCACGATATAACCGACGAGTTTACTGTATTCTCTTGATATATCTTATAAGTATCCTTCGAGAACATATTTTCAACTAATTAGAATCCGTTAGGTATCGAACATCTAATGGGGTTTCGATTATTTTAATCAAATAATATCGAATCGTAGTTATCTCCAATTATTCTATGGACAATGAAAAGTCTTGTATAATAAAATGATGTTACATTGTTTTTCTTTTTTTTGTTTAACATTAAAATCATTACAATTGTATGCTATTTACAATCCTTTTGTTTCTTTTTTATCTTGACATAAAAAGTTTACGGTGAATCGAGGATCGCGTATAACACTTTTCTCTATGGTATGCAATCCTTGATGCAATTAACTTTTATCTAAAACTTTATTCTTTTTTTTTTTTAAGTTTGTTCCAAATTTAACGATGTCATAAAAAAGAGGACTAATTGAATAAATTCATCGATACAAAATAATATTTCAATTGATTGTTCTATCGAATATCAAATCAATCTCAAAATGATGAATAAAATTAATACTTTGAAAAAAATCAAATTACCGAAAAACTTGTAATAATCGTTGTTGCGTACGTTTACTTAACGATAAAATTAATTTTAGTGATAATTTTATCACAATGGAATATCTTGTTAAAGGTATATCATTATGCGTGTCTCATCAGATTTTCTTCCTTCCGATGGTCGGGATCAATTAAGACCGATCGTTGATGACTCAATTTTCTAAGTTGATCGTTCACGATGATCCCAACGGAGCTAGCTAGCTAGCTAGCTAGTTGGACACCGCGTAAGAATGTAATGAAATGCGAGTGCATCCTACGAAGGGTCTTCGTTAATGACGTTGTCCGTGTAGATAAGCTCGAGCATCACGCTGCGAAATTCCAGTTAAATGGGAAAGAAGTACACGTATTTGTAAGGAAAAGGTGGTGGTGGTAGTGGTGATGGTGGTGGTGGTAGATGAGGGCCTGGTTAAAGAGGAAAGAAGGACGACTAGGGGCAGGGGGAGGGACAGGGGGAGAGAATTCGAGTTACGAACAGAAGTAAGTAACCTGTAGTCGTTATAACGGCCGCAAAGAGAGGAGAGAGAGAGAGAGAGAGAGAGAGAGAGTGAGTATATTCCTCTCGAGATACGGATTTGATGAGTTTGAAAATAATTTACCTTTTACGATATGTATATATATATATATATATATATATGTATATATATGTATGTCTTTCCTTTTGCAGATATTTTCAAAGCAGAAAACTAGAAACGGCAACACGGTTAATTTTATTTCATTTCTTTTTTTTTTTTTATTTTTGTTGATATGAAAATAATATCAATTGATTAAAGTTAACGAGAGAAACTAACGAACTTTTAAGATCACGTTAAATTTCATACTGGTTTTATATTTAAATATTCGATTTGAATAAGATTAATCGTGAGATTTGATTTTGAACGTGAACAAAATAAACGTTGCAACCCTTTTCCTATTGGAGAGGGGGAACGTTAGATTTGATTACACTATCAACAGTTAACAATTGTTTACCGTTTAATAGAAGAAATATTTTGATAAACATTTTTGTTATAAGAGACGATTGTAACATTTGGAAACATTATCGTTAACGTTGTGTTGTTTTACATTTGTTTGTGAAAGTATAATATAATATTTGAAAAGAAAAAATACAGTTTTCGCTTGAGACAGGTTCGGTTAACACTTAAATCGTTTCGCATCGACGATTACGTCTAATCACGAACGCGATACAACGGAGTTAATTAATTTATTAAAAGGTTTATCACCTTGCCTTGCGTTACAAAGTGATTGGCCGTTTGCGTAGTGTATAACCGGCTCTCTTATAAATCTCATCGATAGTAGTAGTAGTATATATACGTGTGCATTTAAATATCACAAAGATAGACGTTAATTGCAATCGTTTTTCTTTTAAGATAGAGAGTTCTGGCTCTATCTCAATAGAAGAATCAAGCGTTTCTCTTGGTTTTTTTTTATCTTTTTTTTTTCTTAACCGTATACGTTCGATATCAAATCGATTTTTTTTGTGTTTTTACCTTTTTTTTCTTTCTTTTCTATCGTAAAAGATCTAACAAGTATTTAAACGTTATATTTTCATTCTTGTTGTTGTTGTTGTTGTTGATGGTGGTGATGTTGTTTTGTTTGATAAAATATAAAGAAAATAAAAAAAACGATGAAAGTGTTAACTACTCTTAAATGTCGGCAGATTCTTAAAGGGGGGGGGGKGGGGTACTTTCGTTCGAAAGAGTTGTAAATTAAATGAGCAATTCTACGCTTGTATTACTTACAAAGTATTATTACGACCTAGACGTTATCCCTTTTTACTGGTCGACACACCGAATGATTTAAATCTAGCCCAAGGCCACCTTTACTCTCCTGTTGTGTTTCACTTTAATTATTATACGTGTAAATACCACCTTCGTATAATACGATCTAACCTCCAGACATATTATATCTATAGATTAGAATTTTGCAGGTATATATATACTATACTTGTGTTTGAGAAAGCAAAGGATGTTTTAACACATTGTAGAGTAAGTAATAAAAAGATAAAGAAATGAAGATAAAGAGAGAAAGAGAATATGTTAGAGATAGCTATAAGGACAACCAGTAATTAGAGGTTACTCGTTTATTTAATACAACTTTTACCTCTCTTTATTTTTCTCTTTTTCTGTTTGTAGTTGGTCGTCTTTTACTATAAGTATAATATAAGGGATCATCTCCGATGAAAGTTACTAGTCTGATGCTTTGAATTATTACTGTTATCGCGATAATTCAATATCCATGTTTTCCCTTCTTCCTTTCAACCCCGGACGTATGAATCTTATTGTATATATGCTCCGTGTGTATATATATATGTGTGTACGTGTGTATGTGTGATCGATAAACTTTCTTCTTGTTCGTTCATAGAAATATGGACGATACAATGTCGACAAACTGTCGTAATATTCTTTCAATGTAAGATCTATCTTGATCTTTATGTACTCTGTAAATCATTAAACAAA